GCCAGGCATTGTACGCGGATTTGACAAGAGCATTGCTGACTCGCTCTCTCGTTTTCAGATGGACCGCTTCAAACAATTAGCGCCACTGGCCTCTCCTCTGCCCTGCGTCATCCCAGTATCCATGATCCAAACATAAAAAAACGTGGTTATGAACTTATTCAGCATTCAGGGGCACCGTCAACTAAAAAAACATACGCCGCTGGCGTAAAACAATTCATTTCATTCTGCCTTGCCAAAGGTATCGTGACACCCTGTTCACCTTTACTGCCTGCGACTGAACTTACCCTGCTCTACTTCGTCGGCCATCTTTCCAAATCTGTTTCACATTCAACTGTTAAAACATACTTAGCTAGCGTGTCTTACCTCCACGTAATTTTTCAAATCCCATTCGACATTTAGAGAAAAGTCTCAAAGGTCTGAAGCGCCTCAAGGGTGAAAAATTGCGGGATCGACGGCCTATCACTGTGACCGAACTCTAGTCCCTTCATTCTGCTCTACGTCCTCAGTTTACAGACTGTTTAGACAATGTGATGCTTTGGGCCGCCTTCACTCTGGCCTTTTTTCGTTTCCTGCGCTGTGGTGAATTCACGTGTAATTCTCCATTTGATCCCGAGTGCCACCTATCATCCCGCAATGACATTATTTTCCACCCAAATATCCTCCACGCGGAATATTACGATGTCTTGATCAAGCGTTCCAAAACCGACCCTTTTCGTCGTGGATGTCGTTTAACAATTGGCTCATAGTAATGTCAAATCATCGAAGGGTTTGGATAATGAGGAAAGGGAAAACATACTTTTCAATTAACCGCTTTTTATCGCTCTGTGAAATAATATTTCGCGCGCACAATTTTTGCAAACCTATCCGCACGAAACGATCATTTAATTGACAACAATTGAATGAATTTTACGTCATTTAATTGAACCACCCAGCGCGTGCGTTTTCCATGAAAATGATTTTGTCGTGAATCAAGCTAAAAACTCGTATGTGATGATCACTGAACGGCAACAAACCCAGGGGCGTAGAAAGCATCCAGTGATTGGGAGGTACCGGCTTCCAAATAACTCTGCCGGTTCAAGCTATGAAAACATACCTACTCCAGTCATATTCTGGCCAAACAACTCGTCCAATTGTCAATTTACATCAGCTGTCCCACTTACACGTGTAACCCTAACATCGCACCTACGTCATCTACTTCAAGGGCAAGGACTAGTCGAAAAATTCTACGCCTCTCATAGTTTCAGGATCGGAGCTGCTACAGTTGCGGGCTCAGCCGGCCTAACCTTTTGGCTCATCAAAACGCTAGGACGTTGGTTTTCAGACTGTTACGAGATATACATTAGAACTCCAAAGGACGTCTTAGCTTCCGTTCCATAAAAACTAACTGCAAGTACCAAACATTGAAAATTTTGTTTAATATCTACCTTTAAAACTCAAACATTATGCTTCCTTGCTGTATAGTCTGTATAATACCAGTCCCCTATTTGTGTGTATGTGGATCCTTCCTGCAAACTCATAGCCTGTCGTATGTTTGTTATATGTATCAAATTTATTGAACAATGTTCAAACGGAGAAAATGCAAACGGGACACGAGATCCCATGCGAGGCATTCCTCCGATTACATATTTACATATACAAAAACAAATAACACACAGAAGAAACATAAGTTATATAGCTACACGCATCGAAGAATAAGCAAATGCCACAAGCTCGAAAATCCAAAGTTGTTGATTTGTTGTTCTGTCATGCTACCACGGCAACTGCACGATACCTTCGAATCTGTTTGTTCAAGGACGCACATACACACAATTACCGGCCACCTTTGCAAGATTGTGTCTTAAAGACATTTTTGGGTAGACCCTCTCCGCTGTCGAAAGACAGGACTCTAATTCGGCCTATTTCCCGTGGCGGAAATGGGAACTTTGGCACTTTGTGCAGATCACCATTTGTGGCAGGAAGTCTGGACAACACATCACCACGTGAAGTGCATTTGTATAGGTCACTCTGGTCGAAAACGCGACCTAGAGACTCGATGGGTCAGTCAGACAATATTCGAATCGAGCTGACTGACCTGAACGGGGGTCCGCCTGTTCCCCTGTTATTAAGAGGTCCATCTGTTCCTCTAGAAAAACCTATAGTTTTTGCAAGCTCTGTCAGGTTTTGAGTGCCCTTACTGTCTCGGTATAACTAATGGTGGTCCTTAGATCATGAGGTCTTACCTCACTGAACAACATGCACAGAGCTGGCTCACAACCTCTGCGAATTAGAGGTCCTCCTGTTCCTCTAGGAAAAACTTAGGTTAATTAGAGCCTCTAGACCTTTTTTCGAGCGCTTCCTGCCCAATTTATATGCCACAAAAATGTCTCATTGTGTTGTTGCTTTTCAAAATCTATAACATATTTTCAAACATATAAACTACATGAAACGTATTTTTGAGCTGTTTGAACTTTGCACGTCTTACTCAAATATAATAATCAATAATATTTAAACGACACATATGGTCTTCTAGTGTGAAAACAGCTACAGTATTTAGACGACACCTTCAGACCGCCGATAGCAGGCGATTTGTTTGTCCACAGACGATTTGTTCGTCTTCTGATGTGAAAACGGCTAATCGCTCATATTCTATGAAATTTGGAGTTAATCAATACGGCGGATGCGTAGCAAAACCAAATGAAATTTCTATACTTTAATAGTAACATGTAATATTTGTTGATGTGAATGCTGTCTGCTGAAACTTTAGCATATAGCTCACATGCCCAATCAGTTTATGAATTATGTAAACATAAGTAGAGGCAGGAACGCAAAATAAAAGGCTGTGTCATTCTACCTAAAATAATTATGCTTCGGCCGAAGAGGTCTGAACGTGATCCCAATTATTACTCGTGCTCTAGGAGAGCAAGAGTCTGGGTTTCGTCGTGTGTCGGTCGCGTTTTGGACCTCGATGACCCAGAATGCATTGCGCACTTGACTCAGTAATGCTGACGGAACGTAATTATCCGACAATACAAGCCACATTTTACAAACAATACGGCAAAATATATATGCACAGAAGACATTACTGCGGTGCAACATTTACATGCATATTGATTGGTGCGATGTATATTTTTAAATTCCTATATGAAAGCAAGATATATGATGGATATTTTCGCAGTGTTATAGACGTACAAATGCTTATAAATTATACTTATTTAAAATACCTAAATGTTTGAACCGTCGACTGACATTACGAACAATACGAATCAATACTATTACAACCAGTTTTTTGAAAGCTTTCGTCGGAACTAAAACACTGCAGTCTGCAGGACTTCAATATAGAAGCATTGACACAGTAATATGTCACGTCGTGTTGATTTTTAGGCTACCTATAATCGGCATTTGTGAATTGTGATAATAATGTAAATGTATTAGTTATACTTGTGTGATACATTTTTGTCGTGTAAGTCCTCCCAGGCCAAGGGTAACCACAAAGCCTTAACTTACGCTATAGGTTCCAACAACACGCCATGATTGTGTCCCTCAAAACAGTCAAGTAATGCTATCAAATCCCTAGAACACAATCCCTAGAGCACGAGTGTACGCTTAAGCCGGCGTCTTGTTTCAGTTAATATGATCAGCATCCCCCCACTAAATTTTGTACAAAAATAGAAGTAGGTGACACCTTTATCGCCAGCTGTTTTAACACCTGCATAATTATAATGAATTACAGGAAAGTAACAATACGCATGCAATACAAGTTGGCAAAGCACAGCATCCCAGTTCAATTGTGCACCCATAATGCATATGTAAAGCTGTAAAAACAAAGGATAACGGTGCTGCATCCGTGGTTCCAGCATCCCTGGAAATAAAACATTTTTTTACCACGCCAGAATTATGACCGAGCAAACTTGAAATGAATCTGAGAGAACTTGCTATGAAAACTATGAATCTGAGAGAACTTGCTATGATGATATATATGAACTCGTATCCTACATGTATGTCAAAAGTCTCTTTATCTAGAAACTGTTGTTTGAGTTTGAATATCTCAGCCATGTTGATGTCGTTGTGTTCAGAGGAACAAGAAGCTTTTTGCAGTTGCGGTGTAATTAATTGTATAAAATATGCAAGATCAAACAAGCACACACCACGTCATTTTAATAACCACTGCTTAAGAAGCTACGAGGAAACTTTGTCTTTGGTAATTTATATTATTGGAGAATGTAAACCATATAACAGATTTTTAACTGAAACATTTTATTGATAATTGCTGCGGAGCGAGCGAGCCTTAAAAATAAATATAAATTCACTACCTGTGTTCAATCACTCAAAAGTAGAATTTTGTTATTGAAGAATAACAGGTTTTTTAGCCATTTTAGCGTTTAAGCTTTAAAATTACAGAGATATATAGCTTCTTTATGCATTGCTGGACCGTAATTAGTAGATTTTATACAGATTTTACAGAGTAAATAGATTATTTAGGGCCCTGTGTGAGAATTGGTTGGCCCACATAGCTTTTAACTGAAATGGTTTTAATTCCAATTCTTCTGTATATTCCACACACACGAATGCTTGGGATATCCACTATATTTTACAGAATAACACAGAGTTTCAACGACTTGTCCAACATCGGATATTTATGATCAATTTGGTCAAAGCCTTTACCTTTCTCTATATGTAACTGTAATAATTAAATTCTTGGCAGGTAAATAAACTAATAAAGATAACGTTCCCAGGGGCTAAACAAAATGCTTTTAGTTGGAGAAGGGATATAAAGACAAGTTAGAACCGCTGCCAAAACAGTGTTCGACAAATACCTCAATTAAAGCGTTGCATGTTCAATGTGTTTGTATACATGTATACATGAATCTCAGACTATAAAGCTAAAGTGTTCAATTTGTTAATAAAGTCTAAAACTGAACTAGGCAGTTTTTTCCCATCATGGATGTGCAGAACAAATTTTTGTAAAAATAAACAAAAGTGACTTAATCCTATTACTAGATACTCGAACAAGAAAGCATACATCACGGCCATATACGCAACAATTGCGTCGAGCAACATCCCTTGCAAAGGCATACCGCTATCTTCTCCGCTACGACAGCCTTTTTCCCAATGTCCTCAATGCTCTTCTTGACCAATATCTTTGGATGCATCTCTTGCGTTTCACTGGCAGCCTTTTCAAAATTCGAACCTTCCTGCAAAGAAATGGAAGAGTCTAGCTTAGCATCTGTCATAAATATAAATCCAATTTATGCTGTTGTAAAAATCTGAAGCTGAAGCAAACAGTATAGTAAAAACATTTCTGGAATAACTTACTGGGATGAACTGGATGATGCTGCTTAGGTCGTTTTTACCAGACTTCTGCAACAGCAGGGCAGCTACTACCAGGGCAACATCTGATATTTCATCTATATCAAAGTCAAAGAGAATTAATATCAGATATATGTCATAGATGTATCATAGATGAATGGACTATAGACTATAATATTTGATATATAGACTTACCATCTGAATTTTCAACATCCTGTTGACAATTAGGGTCAGTTTCTAGCAACTTCAGATACTGCCCTATCTGTTCATAGCACTTTACTTTCTTTGACATTTTGGCAAGCATTATGATCTTGTTGCTCATTTGGAGAAAGTTGGCTTTGAAGGTATCTTTTATACTTGATGTAACAGCCAAAATCCTCTCAAATTTTGCAATAATCTAAAAATTTATAACACATGAGTCTGTGCAGTATTATATTATATATCTAATTTGGCAAAAACCAAACTATCTTGTAAAAACGTCTTTAAAGCCTGATACATTTTGCTATACAAATGACATATTAAATAAGATTGAACATTCACCTATGAATCCTTTTTCAATTCTGATTTCATTTTGTGAAAGGAAATACTTTTAAAGTTAAATAATTAAACAATAATTGTAACAATCATATATATTTCTATGTATACAGTGTAATTGAATATCATCTTACCTCTTTGTTTGAGAAAAGTGCTGGATATTCCTGCTTAATCTCAGCTAAAGGGTTTTTTCATTTATAAATCTCCTCCAGTAGGGAAAGGTGATGGCCATTCTTGATTGGATTTTTCCTGCATCAGGATTCCTCTTGCGGGACTCGCTCTTCATGGACACAACATGGGCTTTCATGGATGCCTCATCTTCTCCCTCAGAAAAGGCTGACTCCCAATTTATCCCCCCTCTTCGAAAAGACTTCTTTACAACTTTGATGTCGCCATCCACCGACTTTCTCTTTCTTTGAAGGACCTGTGGATCCTGCGCATGTTTTCTTTCATCTCTAAATTTCTCATAAATTTGAGAATACCAAGAATCCTAAACATATATTAAGGTAATTTAAATGTGAATGATTTTTTAACAATTGTTTTACTATTGGATAAGAAATAATAGAGCTTATGGCCAGATCCAATGCCTTTATCTTGCAGAAATGATTAATCTTTTACAATTTGTTGGCATATTTGTGTAATTTGGTCCCTTGTCGGGTACCTAAATAATGTATTGTAAAATTAAAACCTCCCACAACATTCAATATATTTTGGAAACATTATGTTACAACAATGCATGCTCTTGGTTACTTACAAGGTATACACAGAAAAGTGTTCAAATAATCTTGACACAAAAGCTGATCGAGTATTTAAGGGCACTATTGGTCCGTTCAGCTGTGACAACCTTGGTGCCCACTCTATTGGTGGATTTGTGGAATGTTTTAATACCTTGAGGGTATGTACAGTGTGTATGGCCACAAATGCATGCATGAAACGCGATTCATGGAAAACTCTTTTATTCTCTTGTTGCGAGAAGTCTTCTTTTAGATAGCAGGCGTAGGAATGAACGACAACTGACGTCATGTGAGGCCCCAATAAGAATGTCTCTTCTCCACAGGCTGCTCTTAAGAAGTCAGTGAAACGCTTCTTTCGAATCGAAACAGTTGACGTTCAATACGATAAGTCTGAAAAAATCACCAGATAGCACATGCATGCAATTGTATTGCTCACTCATTCTCTGAAAGCTATCTACTTCTAAACTATTTATCAGAACATGTTTATTCTTACAAATCAGGAACATTATAATTAATCATCGTGCTCAAATTTGGCAGAAATTGGTCAAATCGTGAGCACTGGAAAACTCTGAAAAGTTCAACGTCTGTCGTCTAAAATAGGTCAAACAGGGCTAACCAGCCTCAAACAAAAAGCTAATATTTTACAATCGCAGTCTATGTGCTTCCACAAAAAATCTACTCATCATGTGTTTCATATTATCGTATCCAAACTCGTGTATTGAGTACAATTTAATACAGAAGAAGTGAGAGAGATTATTTACAACAAGCTAATATTTATACCTAACTACATTACCCATCATGCACGGGGCACGAGTTACACAGGACACCTATGTAGATAACGTTACATCCTAATCCTAGTCTAGGCAACTTGGCGGTTTGAATACTCGGCCACTCCTTGTCACTCCACTGATGGCTTTCCCAGCGCTAACAACGGGCTGCTGCGGAACATGTTGGACCTGCAACTTTGGCGGCGTTAATGGAGGTGGTGTTGATGATGGTGACACAGGTGGAGGTGGTTTGTCTGGCGGATAAAACTGTTCCTTAGAAGCACGCAAATGTTTACGATTTCTCCTGAACTGCCTGCCATCCTCAGTTATCACTTCATAAGATCTGATACCCGCTTCTCTTGTTACCTGACCTTTTATCCATTTATTCTCTCGATCATTTGGTTGAGGGGTAATTCGCACCACTTGACCTTCTTTCAGCGTTGAAAGCTCCTTTGTCTGTCTGTTGTAATAGAATGCTTGTTTCTCCTTCCTTGTCAGAATTTGTTTTCTTACATCAACTGGCGCTGGTTGTGGCTTTAGTAATGGTTCAGCAGTCGGTAACTGTGTCCGAGTTCTCCGTCCAAACATTCTTTGAGCTGGGGACGTATCCATGCCTTCCGTAGGAGTGTTTCTCCAGCTAAGCAACGAGATAAAATACTCCATATATGCCTCTTTGCTTTTCTTCATGAGGTTCTTGGCTGTCTTGACTGCATTTTCGGCTCTTCCATTGCTCTGAGCATGCAATGGTGAACTGGTGATGTGCTTAGTTCCTGCAAATCTCATAAAGTTAGCAAATTCAACTGAGTTAAATGGGGGACCATTGTCACTACAAAGTTCATTAGGAATTCCATGAGTAGAGAAGTGTCTCTTCATCTTGGAAATTACACTTTTACTTGTTTTGCCACTTAATGGGTCTACTTCAAAATAACCGCTATAGTAATCGACTGTGCACAAAAAGTCTTTACCGTCTATCGTAAAAATGTCAGTGGCAATCTTCTTCCAGGGTCTGTCTGGAATCTCGTGATAAATAAGGGGCTCCCTAGCTTGACTTGTACTTGATGATAGACAGATGTCACACTTACTAATGTAATCAGTGAGTTCAGCATTCATACCTGGCCAATAGACTAGTTCTCCAGCTCTCCGAAGACATCCTTGCACCCCAATGTGTGACTCATGCAATTTCAACATAATCTTGTGTCTGAGAACCACAGGAATAATACAACGTAGCCCTTTGAAGATGATGCCATCCACTACAGACAATTCATCTCGAATACCAAAATATGGATGGATGCTTGCTGGTAGACTGTGTTTGGAATTTGGAAATCCATCTAAAATTACCTTCTTGAGTAATTGCAATGTTGGATCTGCTGCAGTTTTCTGCTGTAACTCTTTCATCTGGTGGTCAGGAATTGAAAGAAACTGTGCTGCATGGACATGCTCTGTCTCTACTTCAGTTTTAGTAGGTATGTGGTCTTCTAGATATGCTCGAGATAACGTATCAGCCACGACCATATCTCTGCCAGGCTTGTAGCGAATTTCATAGTCATACTGTTGTAACCGCAAAAGTAACCGCTGGAGTCTCTTTGGCGCTGTGACTAGTGGTTTCTGCGATATGGAGACAAGCGGCTTGTGATCGGTCCATAAAATAACCTTACGACCATACACATACTGATGATTATGTTCCATACCAAACACTTGTGCTAACAGCTCTTTCTCGATCTGTGAATATCGCTGCTCTGCCGAAGTAAGAGCCCGACTTGCATATGTCACAGGTTGTCCATTCTGCATGAGAGCAAACCCGAGACCATTCTGTGAAGCATCTCCCTGTCCCTCAGTTGCATCAGTATCGCTGAAATACTTCAGAACTGGAGCTTTAACAACTGCTTCCTTTATACGCTCCAAGGCATCCTCTTGCTCTTCTGTCCAATTCCATTCTGCATCCTTGTGTGTCAGCCGACGCAAAGGCTCGCTCATTCCAGATAAATCGTTCAGGAATTTTGACAGGTACTTCACAAGACCAAGGAATCGCAATACTGCTGGAACATCATCCGGTCGCTTCATTTTCTGGATCGCTTCCACTTTTCTAGGATCTGGTTTCAACCCTTCTCTTGTGATTAGGTGGCCAATAAAGGACCCTTCCCTGGATTTGAAAATCAGCTTATCCTTGTTTAACTTGACATTCTTTGCTCGACATCGTTCAAACAGCGTAGTCAGATGTTGGTCGTGGTCACACTCTGCCTCTTCATCGGTGTCTCCCTTTCCGATGATGAGTAAATCATCAGCTATCTTATACACCCCTGGCAATCCTTCAAGGCATTGATCAAGCTTCTGCTGAAAGCACTCGGAAGCTGGGCAAATTCCATAGGGCATGCGGAGCCAGCGATACCTACCCCATGGTGTCTGAAACGTAGTAAGCTTGCTAGAATCTTCATCCAACTGGATCTGTAGATACCCATCTTTGAGATCAGCCTTTGTGAAAAACTTTGCTTTGTCTAACTCTGGGAGTATCTCCTCAACAACTGGAAGGGGATAATGTCTACGCTTCAGTGCGGTATTTAGATGCTGTGGGTCAATACATACCCTTACTTTTCCATTTGGCTTGGCAGATGCTACAAACCCAGACACCCATGCTGTTGGTTTCTCTTCTTTCACTAAGACGTTAAGGGCTTCAAGGCGATCAAGCTCTTCTTTTAACTTGTGTTTCACAGCAATTGGGACACGGCGAGGTGGCATCACAACTGGAGTCACTGTTTCATCCACGTCTAGATGAAGTTTGCCTTCAATCTTACCCAAACCTGTAAATAGATCTGCATACTTTGACAATACATCCTCTTTACTTAATCTCTGCTGCTCCCGAGATGTTACTGCATTACTACAATCCATATGTAAGATATTTTGGTGTTGAATGACTAACAGTTCCATCTTTTGAGCTGTTTTAACTCCTAACGGAGGAATGGACCCATCTTTAACAATCAAAAATTCTTCAAAGTACTTACAATTGTTCTTTGGGTTACTAATGTTCAACACTGCCTTGCCTAGTACTTCAAGCTTTGACTCAGAATAGGTAAATAAATTTCTATTGGTTGGCTGGACCTTGACATCTTTAGGCAAATAGGAATGCGGTAATACATTGCATGTTGCACCAGTGTCAATTTGCATCTGTATTATCTGGTCGCCCAATTGTATACCTGCACATACACAATTCCTCCCCGGGACTGTACTTACTCGTTCTGTAATTGACCAAATCTCATCATCAGTGGACTGATCACTTTCCTCATGAACTTGGTGTGTTTTAGATCTGCCAGTTTGTATTGTCTTTGGCCCTCTTTGTTGTCTTTTTGGTTGCTGACAAACAGAACTAAAGTGATGTTTCATTGAGCAGTTATTGCATGTTTTATTGTAGGCTGGACATTTTTCTTTCTTACGCTCATGTCGCCTGCCACAATATTTACAATCAGGACATGGTAACTTCGGTTTTCTTTGGCTATTGAATTGGGGCTTCCCTTTTGGTTTGAGTGCATGTGTAGACTCTGAAGTGTTGTGCGATATTTGCTTCTGTTGATTGTTTGCTGCTTCGGCTGCTCTGCATATGTTTAAACATTTTTCTAAGGTTAAACTGGTTTCTTGTAGCAATTTCTTCTGCAAAGTATTGTCACGTATTCCGCATACTATTTTGTCTCTAACTAACTCCTCCTTAAGGGCTCCAAATTCGCATGTGTCAGTTAAAGTACGAATGACTGTCGCATACGTGTCTATTGTCTCTCCTTGTTGTTGAAATCTGTTGTGAATTTGTACCGCTCATAAATAGGATTTGTCTACCTATGCAGTAATTGTTCCATAGTTCTATTATCTTCGTAATGTCTTTCCTCGTCATTTCGGAAAGGTAAACCATTATGAATTTCCATGGCTTCAGGACCAATACACGTGATAAACGTAGCAACTCGATATTTTTGGTCGCGTTCGGCGAGGTTTGTGATTACTTCATATGCTTGCCAAGTCTGACGCCAGTTCTTCCAATTTTTCGCTAAATTGCCTGTTAGACTTATTGGCTGTGGGAGCGGTACATTAGATGTAAAAATCTGCTGAGTTGATGGACCTGTTGGGCTTTCATTTTCTTGTCGTTCTTGCTGCCTTCGTGTCGCCATAATTAATGCACTTCAGGGCTCGATTCCTTCTAGAGATTATTCGCTTTATCAGCGTTTATACTTTAGCTTTTTGATATCTCTTTTCTTTGAGAAGCTAAAGTTTCTTCGCCCACAATGGTGGGCGTGGGTTCGAATCCCACACCTGACACCATGTCATATTACCGTATCCAAACTCGTGTATTGAGTACAATTTAATACAGAAGAAGTGAGAGAGATTATTTACAACAAGCTAATATTTATACCTAACTACATTACCCATCATGCACGGGGCACGAGTTACACAGGACACCTATGTAGATAACGTCACAACGTGGTACAAATACAGTTTTTTTATTGAACAATTTGAATCTGAGGTATAATATTTATCAGTTATTTCCTCGTGCCGGCGAGCATGGTCAAACTAAAGAGCATGATATTTAACTGATAAATCTTTATGTCCATACAATATCTTTTATAGTTTAAAGAGATTAATTAATAATCAATTATTAAAAAAATTAGGCATGTACCTCAGAGGTTGTTGGGTTTATATTACTCGCTTCTTTCCTGAATCTACTTTGGAAATCACCTCTGTTTCTCCTCCAGTCATAGTACAGTTTGCGTCTTCGTGAAAACGTATTACGAACTTTTCCTCTAGCCATTTTTTGGTTTTGAGTCAGGTAGTTCAACCATTGATATCATTGCACCGATGATTTCCTCCAATGGCATTATTGTCTTCGTATAAACCTAAATATATACCTATATGTAAGTTTTACGGCAAATAGTAAAAATAGGTACGCAATGCGTACATGTGGGTAGCCTGTAAAACATTATTAACTGCAATAAAGCTGCTATTGTGGCAAGTAAATATCAACTGATGCAATAAAATATTATTTTCTAGTCTTATGTTCTAATGCCATAAACAAGGGAATAAACACCCTATAGTTAGCTGGTTGAATACAGTTATAACAAAGTCAATTTAGTACACAAGCTATATATTATAATATTTTATTGTATTAAATACATTTTAGACAGATCAAAACATACATAAGTATCTTTACGAGAGATAGGAAATGAAATTTTTGCAGAATAGGTGAAGAGAACAAAAAAAGACAGTAAGGTTCCGGGATGGTGGCACACATCATCTGATAACATAAAACTTAGTTAAGGAGAAAAAGAAGGTTTCAGAATTCAGACTTTTTCAAATGATCATCGTTTTGATGTCCTTTGATTATCAGCATGTCTTTGTTACATACAAGATTGGTTATTTTGTTGATAAATCAATGTTATAGTTATGTTAATATTCAATAAAGGTTAAATGTTATTGTTCCAGTAAGATTATACCACTTGTTTTCCAAAGTTTATTGGCAATATGTTCACCATTATAACTGAAGATAATAATATGATTTCATTGATCCAGTAAGAAGGTACAGATGGTTTGCAATGTTGATTACAGATAACTTATCAGCATCAATTAGCTGGACATAATAGCACCAGTTGGTAGGTCCAAAAAATCTGTGTGGCTTTTTCCAAGTTTAAATTTATCAGTTGACAATATCTTATCACTGTGGTAATCAGTCCGACAATCAGTTAACATTGAATGCCATCATTCATCATTGATATAAATGTGTAAAAATTGTTTCAAACATTTCAGCATAACAATTTCAAAGGCTCATCTATGTATCTGAACAATATTTTAAAGATTTTTGTTCAGTTGAAATGCACTTGTGTTAAAAGTTTTGTTTTTTAAAAAAATATGTTTTGTTAGTTATGTTCAAGTAAATGCTTCTTTTTAAACTCCAAAGCATTTGGTTTAATAGCTGCATGTCCACAAGCAAGAAATTGACAAGTGATATATTGCATTATAATTTATAAAACAGGGCAACTTATTATGTACTACCATTTGCAATAAGGTAATGTATTTGGTTTAATAGCTGCATGTCCACAAGCAAGAAATTGACAAGTGAAATAGTGCATTATAATTTATAAAACAGGTCAACTTGTTACTACTATTTGCCAAATTATAAGGTAATATATTTGGTTTAATAGCTGCATGTCCACAACCAAGAAATTGACAGGTGAAATAGTGCATTTTAATTTTATATAAAACAGGGCAACCTGTTACTACCATTTGCCGAATAAGGTAATGTTTTATTTATTTTCTATTAGTGTAACTTTGTAGTTGTAGATTCAACGCTCACCGATCACCGCTTTATCGTCTTTAAAAGTACTCGCCTTCGCTTTAAAATTTGACAAACGTATTAACGTAACTTCGGTTGCTTCCGTCCTTCGAAAACAACGAAATTTTCCGGAAGTAGAAGAACCACCGTTCGTCATCTTTCGTATATTCGACGATTACCGAAGATGTGCACCCACACACACACAAACATCCGGACACTTTTTCGACTACATAGTGGTTAGCCGCGCATGCGCAGGCTACCCACAAAAACCAATTGAACGTTGGTCACTTACCATATTCGCTGATTCTGAAATTGAAAAACTTGGAAACTTTGAGCCTGCCACACACTAGAGTATCACCTTCGCAACGTTTCACTCGTGACTGTTGGCGTAAGCAAGTTCCCCTATCATAATATAATCAGTGGACGGTTCCGGCAATTGTTATTACTCGTGCTCTAGGAGAGTATGAGTCTAGGTTTCGTCGTGTGTCGGTCGCGTTTTGGACCTTGATGACCCAGAATGCATTGCGCACTTGACTCAGTAATGTTGACGGAATGTAATTATCCGACAATACAAGCCACATTTTACAAACAATGCGGCAAAATATATATGCACAGAAGACATTACTGCGGTGCAACATTTACATGCATATTGATTGGTGCGATGTATATTTTTAAATTCCTATATGAAAGCAAGATATATGATGGATGTTTTCGCAGTGTTATAGACGTACAAATGCTTATAAATCATACTTATTTAAAATACCTAAATGTTTGAACCGTCGACTGACATTTCGAACAATACGAATCAATACTATTACAACCAGTTTTTTGAAAGCTTTCGTCGGAACTAAAACACTGCAGTCTGCAGGACTTCAATATAGAAGCATTGACACAGTAATATGTCACGCCGTGTTGATTTTTAGGCTACCTATAATCGGCATTTGTGAATTGTGATAATAATGTAAATGTAATAGTTATACTTGTGTGATACATTTTTGTCGTGTAAGTCCTCCCAGGCCAAGGGTAACCACAAAGCCTTAACTTACGCTATAGGTTCCAACAACACGCCATGATTGTGTCCCTCAAGACAGTCAAGTAATGCTATCAAATCCCTAGAACACAATCCCTAGAGCACAATCCCTAGAGCACGAGTGTACGCCTAAGCCGGCGTCTTGTTTTATACATCGTCACGCATCGTCATTCATCAGCGTTAACTTTACTGCAATCATTAAATATGATCAATGGATGTGGTAATTATTGGCATGGTGAGTAAAATAGCCTGCTCATTTGGGAAAGAGTGCGCCCCTTCATTAATCATCAACAATGGACAGTGATAATAATATGCCGATCCTCACTGATCCATTGTATTCTTCTCTGACTGACAAAGGATTTTATACATGAACCAATGACCTCCGGTAATGACATGGCCTTTGGACTACAGGGTGTCTTAAAAAACGCAATCACTTAAATATGCAGAACATTAATACAGCTTTAAAGCGCAATAGATACGCTCCTCTGGGAATTGAAAATGGCTCTTAATCCTTCAATTAAAATGCTAAAAGTCATTTTAGCTGAACTATGGTGCAAACACGAACAATATTAATATTCTTGCATATTTAAGTGGTCGCAGTTTTTTTGAGACACCCTGTACAGTAGTGTCAACCACGCGCTTTAGTATAAAAAGTCACACCCAGTTTACCGTGCTGATTCAGTGAATCAGTTTAATCAGACGATATAATAATCTAATAATCCGGCCGTTATTGGCTACATACACAACTTGACACCTTTGAAAAAAGGTAAACTGAATGGTGCGACTTCGAACTCAAAATGCAAGACAAACAGGTACAACTATTAGCACTAGTTATTCTGCAAGCTAAATCCATGATACCACTCAGATGACAAAGACAGAGCGGTAGTCACATGTACGCGCTGCGTACCTATTTTTTATGTTGTAGCTTTTTAGAAAAGTAATGTAGAATGTATGATTATAAGTACGTAATAGCAAGAAAATTCTACAACAATAATCATGTGAGTAGATAATTTGAGTTGAAAATATTAAAAAGATCAAAAACAATTAATAAAAAGTCACTGACTTAATAAAAATAAACATAATGTAATTATTATATTTATCACATTGTATCCCTAAGCATCCGCAATTTTTTCCCACAGACAGCGGGAACATTTTTGTTGGTTGAGCACATCTTTAAACTTAGCATTCATCCGCCAATCACTCACTTAGCCGAGCCGCCTTGCGAGGACCAGTGAACTCAATTAACACTGGAACGCTAGCTCTCTCACTTTCCCGCTCACTTTCCCTCATTAATGAGTGAAACCAAAATGGCGGATCATGGCTAATTACTAACAAAATGCGTCTTCACTTCTTGAATTGCTCTTCGCATTCATCTAATCGAAACTATACAGACCAAAACATAAGTCCCCCATCCTCGATGAAATACTGCCATAGTATTTCTAGAATATGAAATTTCCGCTTTGCCTTTAGCTTTTGCCTTCGACTTCAAGCCCATCATATAAAATGATTCAATATTACACAATAAAAACAATCAAAACAAAGTAATATCTTTTTATTCCAAGTACGACAGAGCGCGGATATCAGTAATCTATTAAAAGATCGTTTTACCAGAAGAAATATGACGAACTAATTCGTTTGTTTTTTGACCACATAATTCATAAATAACAATTATCAAACCAGTGACAGTTTACTGTCTGTGGAATAAATTCAAGTATTTCTTGGCGTGCAAGTGAAATTCCTCAGTTTTCCTGACTTAAATTTTAACCTTACTGCGGGTGAGTTAGTAACTTCTTATCAAGAGATCGATATCGGAC